TTATGTCATATTTACATACCATTCTACAATATTTAAATTTTTTGAGGTGTTAAGAGAGGGTTAGTAACATATTTACATGTTAATTCGGTTTCGCGCTTAAATTGAATGTAGTTTCCTAAAGGAAACGGCGTTATGTAATAAAGACTAGCCTAATTATTTTGAGGCTGATGAAGTGATAATTGTTAAAAGTAACGTTTTTCATGTAATATTTCAGACATGTTGAGCTTTGTGTCTTCACTGTGCCCGCGCCGGGAGTTAAGGACACAGAAGCCTGCTTGTGTGAGCAGGCGATGTTTAAAAGTTTGAGAGTTTGTTACATGTTAGAAAATAAAAAGAAAACTAGGCCGCTGACCATCTATCTAAACAAACAAAGAAAAAAAAAAGAAAAGTGTCAGATACGTTAATCATTCTTTTGAGATTGATGCAAGTTATTTTTAGAAAATAAATGTTTCTGTTGTCTCCTGCCTGTTTACCTCACATTCTGATGCAACAACAGTATGATTACATGCTCATATTTTATGTAAACCATTGATGTCTATGTTTTTCATTGCAGAACTCAAACCAACTTTGGAGTTGTCTGATTTGGAGAGTCATCATTCTTGGTCTTCCTTTCTTAAAGGAATAGTTCACACAAAAAAAAATAATTCACTTGCCCTCATGTCATTCCAAACCTATATTTAGAACACAAATGAAGATATTTTTAATTGTCTCTCATAATTTTTTGCTAATCCATTGAGAGTCTAGATAATCAGTATTTTCAAGCTTCAAACATACAGAGTTATTGTAGAAGTAATCCATGCCAATATTTATATATGAATAAATTTTAAATTATATCATAGCGAACATGTCTGTTCAGAAGAAAATACCGGTCTCCCAGACTTGCAATAGAGGACAAATATTAAGAGAATATTAAATATATTTATGTGTGTTCCAAACCATCAATTATCCTAAAGAGATCATGAAAATTGGCAGCGATGCCTGATCTGTATTCATGGACTATGAAACAAACTGTAAGTGTATAATTTGTAAAAAACAAAATGTTAAATTCTTCATTTATAAACGCTGTAGCTGTTAATGCCGTACTTTACTGCATTTCTGGCTATAGGTGGACAGTGATAGAGTTTGTAATCTCTAGCCACCGTTTGCTTTTCTTGTCGTAGGCAGTCCCTCTAGACCAGTGTTTCCCAACCGGGGTGCCGTCTGTCGAGAGCAGGGGTGCTGTGTAAAAAAAATATTTTTTTATATTTTTAAATTGCTAAAATGTTCAAAAAAGCAGCTATTATATAATATCCAT